CTCTCTCTCTCTCTCTCTTTCTCTCTCTCTCTCTCTCTCTCTCTCTCTCTCTCTCCTCTCTCTCTCTCTTCTCTCTCTCTCTCTCTCTCTCTCTCTTCTCTTTCTTTCTCTCTCTCTCTCTCTCTCTCTCTCTCTCTCTCTCTCTCTCTCTCTCTCTCTCTCTCTCTCTCTCTCTCTCTCTCTCCTCCTCCCTCCCTCTCTCTCTCTCTCTCTTTCTCTATCTATCTCTTTTAAAAACATCTAACTCACGTCTTATTACTATGTTTGGCGTCTTTCGAGAACAAGACTTTTGTTTTCTTTCTGCAAATACGATATAAGCTGACCCAACGTTAGCTTACTAGTAAAAGTTGAAGTTTACAGTAATTTTAGCTAACGCTACCTTTATAATCACCTACGTGTGATTTTCATGGCACGTCAACTGCATTTAATTCTTTATTCCTTGTGATGTTTTACCAATAATGATATTGTCATCAAAAAGTTCCCTCAGTTGTTTATTTTACAACTGCTTAAAAACATTCCACATCATTTTATCTATTTGGTGCCTATGCATCACATCTCCTTTTATTGTGGCTTGCAACATTCACAAGAATGCCGATTGTGATGCAAGGAAATTCCCTAGGATGTTGCTGAGGAATCTGCTGAGGAATCTTTCGCCAAAACTACGAACGCGATGTGTGTCAGCAGCGTCAAGGTCTATGTAAGTACTTATATAGACATTGAGCAGCGTATGAACTAAAAGATATCCAGGACAAAATGCGGAAATGCAAGAGAAATGAATAGGCCTAGTTCGACAGTTCAAATTGACGCTGTAAATTAAAATGTATCCTATTTCCTGTATCTTTACAGTATATTAATTTCTTTTAGTGTTCAGACTGATTCAATGAGAATCGCCATGCCTCGGTGGTCGATGGCGCATGTAACGAAATACAGGCTTTTGCGACGCAGAAATAATAAAAAAAGGATAGAAAAAAAAACTTTTTGTCTTTATTACCCTCTCAATATATATCTGATAAGAACACAGCTCAGTCTCATTACATGCGCTCACGAACCAGTCATATCAATCTAACCACAGCGATTCAGTCTCGTGCCAGGGCAGTGGCGTACAGAGGTCAGTTATGCCGGGGTCAACTCTTGATTGTATGTCCCTAAGACTCTAGTATAAGGCCTAGTACTGAGAAATGTGAGAGAAAATAATATTTGGAATATGTCAACACAGATGAAACATGAAATCAACACTTTATTCGATTATATATACATTTCAAAATTATTATCCTTTTCCCTCTCTGACTGACCCCCCCCCATTTGGATGGCCGGGACCACAACCCTTCGGCCTGCACTACACGCCACTGTTCAGGGGTTCCCAATCTGGGTGCCATGAACCCAGAGAGGCCACGGAATACTCTCTAGGGGACCATAGAGCAACATGAAAATTATGACGTCGAATTAAACTGAATCTTATCTTACAGTACCGACGCATAAATATCTCACATATCAATAAATCGGAATTTCATAAAGTGTTCTACTGACATCATTGCAATATTCAGTATCTCTGAATAGGAAAAGTTGACTTCCACTGAACGGGGTCATGGAGAGTATTACATATTAGTCGGGAACCGCAGAATGTAAAACGCTGGGAACCACTGGTCTAATACATTACCTTTGCTCCTCTGTGACGTCACAGAAGAGGTCCTGAGGCATGTGTAGATTCAGTCGATTCCTCAAGTCCAATTCGTAAGCCACTGATCTTTACTGGTGGTGTTTGTACAGTTAGCCGGGATGTCACCGTGCAACAGAGATTAAGAAATATTATCGAGAAATGATCAGAGACGCATTGAAACGCTTGGTTTGATTTCCATTTAATTAACTTCGTCTTGTTATTTTTCTTTATTACTAATCGAAATCTGTTTTCGCAATGTTGTTCGATCTCGACTGGGCACAATTTCTTCTTCTATGAATCGAAAATACAACACGGAACGCGAGAAAAGAAAAAAAAGAGCAGTAAATTTTTAGCTTTCCTTATCGACTCGACCTTTATCTACTAAGCGGACGATCATTTTATTGCACCCAGCTGATAGTGGCTTTTGCCTCTCCTTTACACGATAACAGTGGCAAGCTATGACCAACAGCTGATAAATAAGAAGAAATGGGTACAAAGTGTTATTTCTTTACAGTAGTCTATGCACTTGAACCAAACAGGGCCGAAAGTTGATGGAAGCTATAGAGGTTTTGCTTGCAATAATAGAGAAAAGAGGCTAAATGAATATTGTACTCATTTTTTTTAAAATTCGCTACTTCCAGTGTTTAAGTAGTCCGGTTTCGCAGAAGCCACCCGGTATGCACTTGCTAATGTATGTGTTCCATTGCAGTAATTACATGACAGTTCTAGATATCAATCCCTATTACACTCTGTATTCCAATACTTTCAGTACACTCCTGTCATATTACTGAAAATACAATACATAATCAGAAGTAAACTATACAGTGTATGCATTAAACCTGTCATTTTTTACATGTTAAATGTAGTGGCAAAATTATTCCGGATTGCATGGAATACCATGAATTTCCCGATTGTTTTACTGACACTTTTAGAATATTGCAATTGCCTTAGTAAATTCCTTTACTCCTAATCTGGTAGCCTTTCAGTCACTCCATTTGCATAATAAGCCTGCTTTATTATGTCTGGCACAACTCTCATGTCCATATTTAGATTAGAAATGACCTGTTTAATCATATATAGTTATGCTGTTACTTTGACCTGCACCAAAACTTCACAGAAAGTAATACATGAAGCACAAAACCTGCAGAAGCAAACTGTACCAATTATACACTATTGTGCAAAGTAAAGAAAAAAGAAAAAAAAAAAAAGGAAAGGCCCGGCTTCATATCTATTAGTCTCTATTCTTCAAGTAGCTCAAGTCTTTCTCTCGATGCAGGAACAAAACAAAGGGCAAAAGGTTGGACGCAAGTGGAAAATCCATATCAGGTCTCACACATTAAGTGCAATTTTCATGCCAGTGAACCTTTCATAAATAAACAAGAGCTCTTAAGAAGAGAGTGATTAAACCACACCACTTTATTGATGTTAGTGGAGATCTGAAAATAATTTTTGTTTACTTGCAAGTTGGATATGTCCTTTAAAAGAGAGAATGTGAGATAAAGGAGAGAATGTGATATAGCGTTTTATTTACTTTACTACTATTTGACAAATGAAAGTATCTGATTATTCACATTTTTGAATTAATATTTGGCAAATAAAAGGAGCTAAAGTAAAATGAATGCAATAAAAAGTAAATAGCAAATTAACCTCATTCATATAACGATTGCTGCATAAGTTACAAAATGTTTATAATTTTTCAGTGTTTAATAAATAAGGAATCAATTTCTCAAAATTAAATGATGCATCAATATATGGGATTCAATAAAATAAAGCTCTTTATTTTTTCATTACCTATATTTCATAAATTCAACCCCTATATTCTAATTATGAATCTATTGAAGACAATACTGGTAGTTTCTTTGTACAAACATTCGAAGTATGTACTTCTGCTATACATACACATGAAGTCTTGCCTCAATACTTCAAAAGGAACAATAATATTAAAAAAAATAATCATGTTTATAAGTTATTACTCAATCCAGTACAAAGTCCTAGTTTCATTTCAAGACTTCAAACATTTCTAGAACATAAATATAAAAGGCAAACATCACAAATATAATAATAAAATGAACCCAACAAAACCTTCATACGACTGCAAGTAGACCAATAATTCTCACCCTGTGGTATCCAAATTAAAACTTTGAAATGTGTGAAATCTAAAAATAATAAATAGCTGAGGTTTTGAAACAATGTATGGTCTGGTTGTAAAAAGCACTACAAGTTGATTTACTTGTGTGCCTAAAATAAACATGTTATCACTTCCTAAAAAAAAGTTTAACAAGAGGAAGGAAAAGAATAGGAACCTCTACCCTATAAAGAATGAAAATGTTCATCATTCTCTGGATGCTATGCTGGAGTATGCAGGTACATGGTTTATATGGTTTTACCATTCTTTTGGCCTTTAAGGTTTACTAGCACTCTGAGCAGCATTCTCTATAAATACAAATATTTTACTAATATTGTGAGAAGAGCAGGACTGACAAAGTAACTGACTACAGTAAATTTTTAACCTCAAAGGATTTAAGAAAACAGTGAAATCATGAATAATGATCATAATATATGTGTGCAAGGATGTGCCGCCTCTGGGGGGGAGGGGATTGCACATATGTTTATGTTTTATTTGCTTATGTATGTGCTTGTCTGTTACAAGCACATAATATTGCTATCTCTACTATTCTATGAAATTCATATGAAGAACATGGGAAAGGGATAACCTCATGATATAACTATGCATGTCGACTATGTATCAATGTGATCTGTTGAAATAACAAATAAAATATGCAAATAAGCACCCCTACAAGAAAAGATCCTGCAAATACTCCTCAAACTCCTCTTCTCGACTTTTCTCCTCCTCCACCTTTGCAGGTCCCTTCCAAATGCTCTCCTCAGAGTTCTTCTCTTCCTCCTCTTCTGTGGTCTCTTTCGCTGGCTCAGCGCTCTGCTTGTCTTCTTTTGGTGTTTCTTCTTCCTCTCTTTCTCTTCTTTGCTTCTTTTTGTGTCGGTGTTTATCGGAACTAGACTTTGTTCTCTTTCTTGTTACTTCTTTCCTCTTGTGATGATAGTTTACCTTGTATGAACAATCATGACACAGTCCTGTATAAAAGAAAGAAAGAAAAAGAAAATGTGGGCTTGTTAAAAAGCAGGGAAAAAGGAAGAAGGAAGAAGGCAGATGAAGAGCAAGAATGAGAAATGAATATGAAGGAAAAAGATATTAACAAACAATCAAATAATAAATGCTGACAAACAAACAGAAGATGAAAAAGAAAAGAAAAGAAAGTAAGAAAATACGGCAGAGAATCTTACCTGTCTTGATCAAATTAAATGGAAATCTTTGTTAGACATCAAGGTATGACCTATTCTGGGAGAGAACCTATTCCTTTTCTCAGCACTGAATTGAACAACTTTCTGAGTGTGAAATGATTCTCAAATTAAACCGAACACTTGTTTCAATGCTTACGAAGTTTTACAAGTGCGTTCTTCTTCACTCCCTGCTCTATGTAGCCGAAGTTCATCTCCCAGGTGCGCAAACTCTCTGTCTCTGAGCACCTCTTTTCTCCACACGTGAACTGCCCCTTTCCCTCAATCACCTCCTTTTCTATTCGCCAACGCATGCCCACCTACAGGGAATGTAATAAGAGAGAGTAAACACTTTGATGAAATGTTTTCTGATGTATTGAGAAATACGAGAGAAAACAAAGAAAAGAGACAGGAGAAAGCAAGAGGTGTGTGAGAGAGGAAAGAGAGGAGATTTAAGGGAAGGAGAGAGAGAGTGAGAGAGAGTGAGAGAGAGTGAGAGAGAGAGAGAGGGAGTGAGAGAGAGGAGAGATAGAGAGAGAGAGAAGAGAGAAGAGAGGAGAAAGGGAAGAAGAGAAAGAAGAGAGGAGAGAGAGAGAGAGAGAGAGAGAGAGAGAGAGAGAGAGAGAGAGAGAGAGAGAGAGAGAGAGAGAGAGAGAAGAGTTGAGAGAGAGAGAGAGAGAGAGAGAGAGAGAGAGAGAGAGAGAGAGAGATAGAGAGAGAGGAGAGAGAAGAGGAAGGAGAGGAAGAGAGAGAGAGTGAGAGAGAGAGAGAGAGAGAGAGAGAGAGAGAGGAGAGAGAAGAGAGAGAGAGAGGAGAGAGAGGAGAGAGAGAGGAGAGAGAGAGAGAGAGAAGAGG